AGATAGACAGCGAGAGAGGAAACACAAGCAGGAGGAGTGGGAGAGGGAGAAGCAGGCTTCCCGCTGAGCAGGGAGCCCGATGCGGGGCTCGATCCCATGACCCTGGGATCATGACCTGAGCCGAAGGCAGACGCTTAACGACTGAGCCACCCAGGCGCCCCAGGAGTTAATATTTATTAGGCTCTTATTTTGTGCCAGGCATTGTGCTAAATGCTTTACATAATTTATTAATAGTTACCACAGCCCTATGAGGTTATTATATTAGCTATTCAGAGCTCTTTGTAGTAGTGGAGTGAAGTTTTGAATATTTTTTTATTGGAACCTAGAGAACTTTTTCAGATTTGTAAAAAGAAAATCTTAGGGTTTCACAAACATTTACTTTCCCTGGCTTTTTTTTTTTTTTTTTTTAATCTAAAGGAGAAGAGAAAAGAAGAAGTGGTAGAGGAAGGATAGTTGAGAATTTTCCTGAAATAAGCAAGGAAGTTAGTTCTCTTTCAGGGAAGTTTGACTAGTTACACTAAGTACTGATTAGTGACAATCTCTCTTATCTCTGACTTCCTTTTTTTTTTTAAATTTTTAAAAAGATTTTATTTATTTATTTGACAGAGAAAGAGACAGGGAGACAGGGAACACAAGCAGGGGAGTGGGGGAGGGAGAAGCAGGGAGCCTGATGCGGGGCTCGATTCCAGGACCCTGGGATCATGACCTGAGTGGAAGGCAGACTCTTATCGACTGAGCTACCCAGGCGCCCCCCTTTTTTTTTTTTTAAGATTTTATTTATTTGTTTGACACAGAGAGAGAGACCACGAGAGAGGGAACACAAGCAGTGGGAGACGGAGAAGCAGGCTTCCTGAGGGGCAGGGAGCCCGACGTGGGGCTCGATCCCAAGACCCTGGGATCATGACCTGGGCAGAAGGCAGACACTCAATGACTGAGCCACCCAGGCGCCCCTTATCTCTGACTTCTTAAATAAATGGGCATCCAGAGAAAAACTGATAGGAGTTTTGCTGGGAGACAGTGAATTTGCTCAAGAAGTTTTATTACATGGATGCTTTGAAGTAACTGAGAGCTGGAAGGGTTAAGACATTAATAAAAAGATTCAAGGGAAATGAAGGATATTTAACACATAGGTGTAATACAGAGATAATTCTGGAAACATTTCTAGAGCCTGCTCTCTTTCCAATAGTCTTTTCCTTTAGTCTTTCCTGCTTGCAGACTTAGTCCAACTCTGGAGCATATTGCTTTCTAGATAGGACTAACAAGGGTCCAGACGTTTGTTGCACTAGTCTCCAGACTTCATTTAACTGCAACATGAAGTCTAAACCAGCACCACGTCTTGTGGACCTGTATTTTCCTCACTCCTCATGTTTGTCCTGGAGGGGGCGATGTGGTGCAGCAGAAGGAGAGTAGGCTTTAGAGTCAAATGGGTTGGTTGCCTAACTCCACGAATTACCAACTTTGTAACCTTAAGCCAAGTTAACTAACCACATAGGCTCTAAATTTCCTCATCTAATTCTGCCACCCGTGTTACTCATTTGTTCCTCAAACCTAGCAC